ATACTCAAACTCTCCAGATAAAAAAAATCACTTATAAAATCTATCAAGAAGAGCGAAAAAGAAAAACCAACAAACGAACCTTAACCTCTACTTATGACGAACCAAGAAAAAACGAAAACTTGAAGAAGCGTAAGTAATTTAATCCAAAGATTCGCACAAAGGCATCCACAGCTCGAGAAACCTATCAACGAAAGATCGTTCTTTATTGTTACAGTATGATAAAAGACTACTCAAGTGCATTTTATCATTTTGCCCTTTCGACACAATTGCAACCAAAAAGTCAAACAATGTAAAAATAATTTAATGTTTTCGTAGGTGCACAAATTTTATTATTTGGATTATTGAAGTGCACGCTCTTGAAATGTAAAAGCACTAGAGTGATCGCATGGGAGGAAATACTCGGATCCAAAGCCATTAATATTAATATTAATTTTTGTCACGTGTTTGAAATAGATATAAAAATTTTTGTATTTTCTAAGCGACATTGACAATTTTCAAACTTATGAAGCATCGATAAAAATTCTCCATGATAAACTACTGCTTTTATTGTTGCATACATAAAAATTACAGATGTTAAAAGCTAATACTTGGTGTTCCCACCTTTAGCCTTAATAACAGCTTCTATTCGATATGGTAGGCTCATAATTAAATTTTGCAACATCTCTAGGCTAATATTACTCCATTCCTCTTGAATTGCAGTTATTAAATCCTGCTTTGTCTAAGGCAGAGGTTTTCGTTTACGTACCTGACGGTCTAAATGGTTCCAAAGATTTTTGATTGGATTAAGGTCAGGACTTTGCGCGACCCAATCTAAAGTTCGAATACCATGAGTTGACATCCACCGAAGATGTATTAGTATGGTATAGTAAAGTGAGGCTTTCTCTTTGCAGTATAACATCGAATACCTTCATCATGCAAGTATCTTCTAACAGTACTAGTATGTAATGTTGTTTCAAGATCAGAATTTACAGTGTGTTTAGAACAAAACGGGGGTGACAAAAATTGTATATCTCAACGACTACAAATGTAAATTAAAGGTTTATTTAAAAGCTCATTAGTTACCTTATTTAATAGTAAATTTTTAGTAGGAAATTCTATTGCCGTCATGCAGCAAAATAGCTTCACATCTGCTTTGCATGGAGGAGACTAAATTATTAACTATCTCCTGAGGGATTGCATCCCATTCCTCAGCCATAATAAATCTCATTAATTTATCTGTATTTTGTGTCATTTGCTTTTCAACATTATTCTTCATAATTTGCCACATACTTTCAATTGGGTTGAGGTCTGAACTGTTGGATGGAGTTCTCGACAATTATCTGATAAGTAGTCGAGACCTGAATCTCCATTCAGCGAGAAATTCCTTGGCAACACGTGACGTGTGCTTCGGATTATTATCCTGTTGCAAACGTCAACTCCTCCCATACATTCTTTGAGCAGCAGGAAAAGTTGGGCCAAGTGGCGTAACTTCGGATACAAACCACTCAACAAAATACTCAGTGAAAATTCACCTCGATTGCCATGTTACATTGAGTCCAGCTTCTACAAGAATATTATATATTTTCTTTTCGTATTCATAGTCTTTCTGTGTGGTGTTGCAATATTCTCACATAAAAAGGACCATCCATTATTCGAGAAATGCCTCCCCACGCCATTACGTCTGTCACCAGTTTTGTGCCATCGACGAACCTTGTTTCGGAAGAGGTCAAAGGCTGTCTCATCTGTCAACATTGTTCTGTTCCAATTGTCATTCGCATGCGCCTGTGCCCAATTCTTTCTCATCTCAATATGCTGTTCGGTGAGCATCGGCGTCACGGAGCTTTTATACCCCTTTTTTTATGTAATCCCATACCGTAACATGCGAAATTGATATATTCTGCGTATTTTCTACTTTTGCAGCAAGTTGGCGGGTTGAAAAACCATTATTACGGCGTATACTCTGTCCGATAACGCGAGATACGATTTGTGTAACCTCCGTTTCCTCGCTTGTGCTCAACGGTACCTGTTTCTCTTAGTTTTTTGAGATTATGCTCAACAGTACGAAGGAAAGTGTTTGTTATTTTGTGTTTTTCTTTGGCTGAATTGGTACCGTTGAGCCAGTAATGTTTAATTGTTTGTCTTTGGGCTTCGAGCTTCGCGTTAACCATCTTTACAGAAGCATAAACGAAAAAACAAAAGTTGCGCGTATGAGAACATGTTAACTGGATATGGAATTGATCGTATTTGTAGTACAATTATTATTAATAACGCGTATTTCTTTATGTGTTACAAAAAACGAGTCTTTTGTTGACCACCATTTTTTTCTTAACGCACTGTAACTTACCTGTCAGAACGGGGAGCGAGCCAAGCCTATCCTCTCGAACTATGCGTTTCAGAACCGGTCAGTAAGCGTTTTTGGGCGCCCGGGATGTTTCTTTGGTGTGGCAGAATGTGTTTGCTTATATCGTTTAATTGTATCATTCACAGTGCTAAGAGCAATGTTCAGTTGAGCGGAAATAACTTGTTGTTTCGTTCCGCTAAGATATGCACCAACTATACGTTCGCGCTGTTCGTGTAAAAGCTCCTTTTTGACCATTTTATGCTTTTAACAATTGAAGAGTAGCAGGAGAATAGAAGTTATTGTCACGGCTGATGGTGAAATCCATGTGACAAAAAACCCGGTGAATGATCATCTGATCAAATCGCTCTTTTCTATCACAGTGCATCAATTCCCTAATTCCCAAGCTAGCCATGGCATGCATGTATGGAGAGTGTGCATATATGGAGGGTGCTTATATGAGGCATTTTGAAAAGATCTAGAACGTTCCTAATAATACGTCATTGACTAAGCCACTGATCAGCATTATATCGCACTGTCAGCACATCTTTCCGCAGAATCAACCATGACAACAATTGTAAATTGAGGGAGAAAATCGAAAAACTTGAAAACGAGATTGAAACGGTTAAAACGACATTTGGGTTTGAGAAGTAGAAGGGAATGGGCCTTCTCACATCCCTCTACAAAGAAAGGGTACAGCTGCAAAAGCTGCAAACCGCTCTTACTCTGCCAGGACAGCCAGGACTGGATATCATACATAATGAGGATGCTGATGAAGAAGATTTAGTGGGAAGATGATGAGTAGTATGATAGCAATTCAGTACCCCCAACTCCAGAAACTGACAGTATTACTCGCACAACGGTTACTTCGCGATGTGATATTATAGTGAACTTCTTTAAACCTGTGGGCTATCTAATAATTCTCAATGGTACAGAAGACAATTTAATACGGAAAGAAGGTGCTGAAAGGGAGGATGAATCAGCTATAATTTTACCAGAGGGTGTTTGTGAAGTTGAATTATAATAAATCAAATGAAGTAATATATGACGTGAATTGTTGACGTGATAAAGGGGGTAGCTATTTCATAACCTTATTCACGGCAGTCATTTTTTTATATGAGGGGCCCTTATTCACGATAGCCCCTTATTAATGGCAGTTTACGGTATTTGCTATTCAAGGTGAAGCAGTACGCGAACAAATTATCTCGACGAAAACAAATTAATAGGAAAAGATCTTAATAGTACGCTGAGCATAATATTTGATGAAATTAAGAGACGAAAAACATCTAAAGATTACTTGTGGTAATACGGGTGGACAGAATAAAATAATGCCACCATTTGATTTAGTTATTGCGGTTATTATGAAAGTATCGAATTAATTTCATGGTGCCTGGACGTACTAAATTCTAGTGTGAAATTTTGGATTGATTAAAATGCTTTACGAAAAACAACCGTAGTTTGTGTGGATCATATTGTTAATGTTGTGAAAAATCAAGTACAACAAAGCTCAATGCTATGAAAATGGAAAGATTTTCAGCACTTAAATCTTAATTCTGTCTTAGGGATTTTCTTTAAGAATTGAATGGCTTGCAAAAATATCTGCATTTTTCTTTGAAGCAACTCATCCAGGAGTTGTCAAACTCAGCTAATGGCTAATGTGCTTTTACTGAATTCAACTTGTTGAAAACTAGAAAAGCAAATTTTTCGGAAATTACTAGAGAAATCCATCCTAATCCTAGTATTAAACCAGCTGAAGAGAATAGTGAATGTCACAACCAAGATAACTATGATATAATAGGCTATGTCAAAGACCGTTAACAACATATGAAATAAATCTCAAAGATAACTACAAAAAGTTAATCTAGTTAACAATGGAGGAAAATTTATTAAAGAGACAAAGAGCCGGTAACTTTACAAACTACTAAAAGCCGACACCTACTGTAATAACGAATAGATTTATATTATTGTTTTGGAGACGGTTTCTATGTTTAATGATAAACTTCTTGTCTGTAAACAAAAATGGCAAGTTAACAGAAATAATTATGTCACATGTATTACTAAGCGGCTTATTCTTATTTATAAGTATACGGATCGCCATCGCGGAGCAAGTTATTATTGTGATTTCATCAACTACCCAAGATCTTCATTGAGAATTGCGCTCATATAACACAAACGGTGACGTCAGTTTTCTTGTCAAGTGTGAACAGTCACATATATTCCAAATGTTTGCTCCGCAATCCTTGACAAAAAAATTGACGTCACCGTTTGTGAATAAAGAATCTGTTTGCGATACGATATTTCAAAGCTGAACATACGGTCACGTTACTGTACCCAATTTCTGAATGAAGATTGTTCATCAATTATCTAGCGATTACTATTGTAATTGGTCAAAGTCGGCGTACCAATTGTAACGCCCCTGGTGTCACTAATATCATAGATTATCTATCCATCATAATGCAGGAATAGCATTGTTCCGCCGTATTTTGCCTTTGCCGAAATTACTAATGACCAATCATCGCAGGTCACATGACACAAGTAATTTGTCATCATCCATAATAGACTAGCGACATAATTGGGCAAGTAAATGTATTGCCGAAAAGGTTAGTAAGCATAAAAAATTTTATTAATAGTCAACAAAAAACACACAGTGCGCGCAAAGTTGTTTAAAACCTTTTGTTTCGAAATGATTGGCGAAAGTATAATTTCTTACGGACAACATGTTGCATTAAACGGAAATGGCCTTACTAAGACAACAAATGGAAAGCCATTAACATCTTTTGATTCCATAGAAGATGCATTGAAAGATTTTGGTATGGTCGTTTAATTACCAAAGAAGACTACATTTGACTGCCATTATTTATTTATTCATATTGTGCGTTTATTTTGTCGAATAGCCGATGGAAAGTTTGTGTTGGTTGTTGATAATGAGGATCGAGAAAACGAAGGAGACCTAATTATTGCAGCAGAAAAAGTTACCACAGAAAAGATGGCATTCATGGTACGATATACGAGGTAACCTCTTCATCTAAAGCAGTTTTTATGATGGAACCGGACTATATTTGCTTCTCGTATACTTATCCCTCATTTGTTAATTCATTCGACAGCGGTCTCATCTGTGTTCCATCAACGGGAGACCGGTTGGATCAATTGAAGTTACCACTAATGGTATCAAATAACTCTGACAGAATGAAGACGGCTTATACCATTTCCGTAGATTATGCTCATAGTAAGTAGTGAGGATAAATGCGTCCTAGTAACATCATTTGAAAAATGCGAGATATTCAAGCCACATGTTTCATAACTCACTTCTACCTGCGACTAGATACAACGACGGGCATCTCAGCTCATGACAGAGCATTGACAGCCCGGTCGCTGGCTGATCCAATGATTACTGATCCAGAAGCCTTCAACAGACCTGGACACATATTCCCTTTACGATATACTGAAGGTGGCGTATTGCGTCGTATTGGACATACTGAGGCATCTGTAGGTAAGAACCCAAAGTCATGTGTTCACGATTCATTGATAAGGCCCATTTCTAACAATCTCGCTGTCGTTTTATTTTGTCGTAATGCATGTCGCATTTGACAATTCAGATTTATGTAAATTAGCAGGATTGCAACCAGTGGGAGTTATCTGTGAATTAGTAAAAGACGATGGCTCTATGGCTCGTCGTGACGACTGTAGAGCATTTGCTGACGAGCATGGATTGAAATTGATCACTATCGCTGACTTGGTCCGATATCGTTTAGAAAAAGGACTTATAGACATTTAGAGTGTTGCTTTATCTGTACGGTAATTATACTTCAAGTTAATATGTTAGAAAATCTAACAATTAATAGTTAATTCATAGAATGTATCTAACAGACGGTATAAAGCAACGAACATTTGTTACAACACTTATAATTTAGATGATTATTTATTCTATTATATCTTTCAAGAAGTGTTACCCCAGTTGTGAATTAAATCAAGCAGTATTTTTCACTGGTGCCTCTGCTCCTCTTTCTATTGTCTTTGCCTATAATACAAAATACGTTAACATTAATGCGCAATGTACGACAACAAATACAGCGATGTTACAATACTAGTCAACTTATTTTAATACTATCCGTTCAATAGTACTCACTTCCGACTCTAAGTCTGCCAATTCCGCGTTCAATTCGGGGAATTCAGACTCTTGTAAGTATGACGGTTCGGCTTCCTCCTCAAAGTCCAACTCGTCTCCCAACGCATCCAGTTCGGCTTCCAGCTCCTCTTCATCAATATCTTCTGGGAGCCCGTATGATCTTCCTAGAGCTTCCTGTATATCATTCGCTTGTTCCATCAGATCCTCCATTTCATCTTGGACTCTCTGAGATGGCACAAGTGTGAAAACAGAGGTTTGGTAAGAGAATGATAACGACAAGTCTAATCATTTTAGCATCAAATGAAATGGAGGCTACTTGACGTAGTGCGACAATTTGAAGCGTGTCGAATCAATACCTCTAATTGATCAATATTAATATTTTTATACTGTCTTTTCATTTCCTTGTTAGCTGTTTGCATAGCATCGACAGTGGTAGCAACGTTACGAAGATTCTCTGTCGTAAAGGCTGCCTGCTCCATGTTGAATGATTGCTGTTGAAGCTGATCACGCTGAGTTTCGTACCTACATAAAGTATTATACGTCAATGAGGCAATATTTCAAGAGCTTGGGGGGTTGCTGTTTGGATGGAATGCCCAGCGCAGATGCTTTTAAATGGAACCCCCTTACAGCAAGTCCACCTGGTCCTCGTTCTACCTGCTCCATCGTAGAACATACTCACAGTTTTCGTTGTTTCAACACTCGCATTGCCTTTGCCTTTATTGCATTCTAAAATCGGTAGTGAAATGAGAAACCAGGTGTTGGATCTATACGAGAGAAACACACATTTTGCTTACCTTCCCCGGTCCGTCACGCATCTTATTCATTTGTTCTTTATATCTAGCTAATTCTGCATCATATTTCTTTATCTTGACTTCCACAGCCTCGACTCTAGAATCTGTCTATTTGCCAACGAAAGTAGAATGCAACGCGGGTCGGTCATTTACAAAAAGCCTTCCTACATCGCGACGACCAATGTAACAACACGAAATTACAAACTTATAGTACCTTACCGTCGCTATGGCTTCACCTAACGTTGGCTTAGGCACTTTCCTCGACGTTCCAATGAGTCTGTTCATAGTGTTCGTTTAATTCGTTGACGCAAGCATTAGCGCAAAAATACATATTTAATATTAAGCGACCCTACGCCTATTTGCTGTTCTCACGTGGTAGCAGGATATTCTTGTGACGTCATGAAAATTTTCGAGCGCGTTGAAAAAATTCAGCATTTTAATAACATACTCAATTATTGCTCATTGCTATTGAAGGCAGTATTCGTATCCTCACCTTTACCCTCATTCACGAGCAAGCATTTCTTAGTCTCACGACTGTTTATTTCACTTCGTCAGTCTTAAGACATGCCTTTCGAACTATTTTTCGTTTGCAACGAAATAAACAGTTCAGAGAGAAACTGTTTAAGTTTCAAACTTTGACAGTAATTATCATATACCGTGTACTGCCGTGAAAAGATAAGCACCCCCTATAAGTAAATTATCGATCGTGAATAGGCACACCAAGATTACCTAGATTAACCGCATGACATACCCCTCCACCCACCCACAGTTTACTACGTGAATACACAAATAAAATATTTTTATTTCACTTCTGGTTACTGTTGTAAGCTACTCCTTAACGTTATTGTGGATTATACTTTACGTAATAATTTGCTGATCGTTTTGATAATGCCGATGAGAGTTGGCAATCCTATCGTGAATAAGCACCTCACTATGTTAAGGTTGAGTGCTTATTTACAGTATACGGTATGTGAATTTCATGAGTATTGCATTCTTGATTGTGGGCTGTTGGTGATTGATGACAAAATTGATTTCGCACGTAACTCATGTGTGCAAATATTGTTCAAGAAGCCTACTTATACTTTGATAAAATATTAAAGAAATGAGTGAGAATCACATACCAATGAAGGACCTGCATGTCAAGCGTCAGATCCACTGACCGGATGACACACTTGCGATGGCTTTACATCAACGTCCCATGTATCCTATTCACCACAACCGCCTGAGCACAGACAATTTTTCGGAGCTGATATTGAAAGTTTGCAGCAAACCATTTAACAATCGGGCACCCAACTACTTTTCGTGTAATTCTATTCACCACTGAAGCTCTCTGCTCCTACCGGTTCGGTAACGGTTTCGATTAATCGCACTCCGCATGCTTTCAAAAACTCGATTTACACCTAGTGGCAGCGTCCCTTCAGATACACACATACTAAGTAATTACCCTCACGACAAACAATCTGCCCAAGTGTGGCCACGGAGTGCTTTCAAGATTATCCGGCTTTTACACCTAGTGGCAGCGTACCTTCGGATACAGACCCTCAACAGATTTACCCAGTAAGAATTCTTACCTCTAAAACTTCCTCGCGTCGATGTGAGTTATTGTCAACGGACTTGTGTATCGAACTGTTGTCGTTTAATTATCAAGAAATTATTTTTTTTGAGTTTGGGGCAACTTTTACTTCTATAATTTTTTAAAAGCATTTTCAGCAGTTTTACCACCAACTTTATAATCAATCAAAGCAAAAAATTTATCTTTATCAAATTGTTTGAAAAGTTTCTTATTTGCTTTGATAAATTTACCTAGGTAAGTGGGTAAATATAACTTTTATCTAAATAAAAATTTGTGACAAAAGCTTTGATAATTAATTCTAATAAATTTGCTACAGTACAATAGGTCATCAATAAATTGTTTCAGCAACCTTTTCCTGATGTTCAACAATTTGTTTTAAATTTTATTATTAGGTTGACCAAATGCCAAATTAGCTTTAAAACGTCAACTAATTTTTTTATATTCTTTAGCTTTTGTGTTTGACTATTTTCTAAGTTTCCTTGATTTTTTTTATCTTGTTCTTGTTCTTTTTTGTCGCAATACTAGATCAAGCATCAAGTGCAGCTTTTTTTTGCGTCTAATTTTCTATTTATTGAATACTTTGGTGATCCTTAATTATTTTGTCAAACTTTTTTTTTGCTCTGTATTAATTATTTTGGTAAGCAATGGATTCTTTACCTGGTTGTCTCTGCTCCTTTATTTATAAAAAAAATTAAAATTTGTTGCCATTTGTATTAAATTTTTACTAAAACTTTTTGGTTCATTTTTTAATTTGGCTTGAGCTTTCTTAACTTATTATTATTATTATTATTATTAAAAAATCTCTTTTTTCAGCATTCTCTAATGTTTTACCATCGTAAGAATAATTTTTTGCTTTATCAATAGCAGCAATTCTGCCACCAATGCATCAGTAATTTTGTTATTTATTTGTCTAAAATAATTATTTTATTTTATTTTTATATTTAATATACTGATGTTCTTAATTATTAATTATTATTTATAATTGAGAATAATACTATCATTATTTATGACATTTTCAAAGAGAATTAAGTATACCTCAAACGCGTACATGCATTTGCAACAATATAAATAGTTTATTATTTGCAACACTCAGTTAAATAGCTTTAAACAGCTCTAGCGGTCCACCACAGCTGTGTCAATAAAGGACCACTAAATCAGTTAAATAGCTTTTATTGTCAAGCAAATGTCACCTAACATTGTTTTTACATACAATTTATTTTCGAAATTTGCACATGTATTTGCATTATTATTTGATTATCATACAGCCATATTTTAGAATTCTGATTATGATTTAATTTCTGATGCTCATCAATCATCTGATTTTTGGACTTCGACCGTGAACCTTTCTTTTCTTTAATAAACGGTGGTCTATGAAACTGTTATGTACATTTAAGGTTATCATTGGTCATACCTACAGGTGTAAACAAAAAAGAAGGAAAAAATTTTTCAATTTTTGAGGGAGGTGAGGTTTGCTTTATTGTTTAATATAAGAAAAAACAGTCGGTAAACATTTCCACCCATTATTAATAATATTCTTTAAAAACCCTCTTGGATAGGGATAGATGTTATTATTTACTGCGTCTTTTGTCTCAAACATCAACGACCGCATCTCTTTCAATCATTCGTTCCTCGTCTCTTCCGGCTGCTTTGCTTGTTTATTGTTCGATATTTGCAAGAGTTGAGGAATTTGTTACCGAATCCAATTTTTTACCATTCACCGCCTATATTAATCTAATGAAATTCGTGCATTTGGTTCAGGTAGCCTTAATATTGTCACATCACATCCGCAAGAGTTTTTCTCTCGATATGACGTATCATGCCCCATTTAATTTAAATATAGTAAATTATTAAATATACGGGGGTACCGGTTACACTAAGATTTGGGCTGAATATGAAACACTTATTGCCTGAGCCACACTATTATCGATGTCATATTAATAGCCTAATAAGGCTTTAAATACTAAAAGCGTCAAACAACTGATGGAGACTGTATTTAGTTTGCTCTCCCACTATTGTACCAGTCTACCTTCGCCCACCCTGGACTTGTATTTGTGTTTGTGGTGTTAATAGTTTTTGCGATATAACTGAAAAAATAGGAATAATACTATGTGGGGGAGCATGTGCAGCCGGAGGTTTTTCTCTGCCCCTTCTAATAACTAGTCCAATAATTCCTAAGCCATAGCTCAATGTTTAATTCGAATTAAATTCATCAGTGATTCCAAGCAATCGAAAGATCCTTCCGAAAATACCGTATTTGAGGTTAGGATCGAGGAACTCACTGGAATGAATGAAGAACAATACAGTCAAGTTCACATCCAGTTTAAACTTTCGTCTTTCGGAGCGGTTCCTCCTCTATCATCGGGGTAACATTATTTTATATTCTATTTTCCCCGGAAACATGATTGTACGCCAGGGCTTTTGGTTCTACAATGGGCCACTTTAGTAGCAATACTCGGCCACCTCCCAGAGCTAAGTTTGTACATGGAAGCGGCGAGCACGTTATATATATTAAGACTATTGCTATATCGATAGCAAAGCAACAGTCAGCCTTTTGTTTAGACAAAATAATATTATCACACCCACACCCGTAATCACTTCTATACCCGATAAGGCCTGTAAAAGCGACTCGAAACTTCTGTTTGTAATCTATTCATACTAACATCAGGAACTACAAGTCAACACTTGTACGAACCTCTTCATGTTCCCTTGACATTTTCATAGGTCCTAATTTCTATTACTTTTCAAACAACATGGTTTTCGTAGTAAAAAGACAGTATAAACCGCATCTGATCTTACGAATAAACCGCTTCATACTGCGATGCAACCAAATGGGGTTACTAACAAAGATGACTACAGGTGCCACCTCCACTGATCATTGGTACAAAATCAATATTTGCTTACAGTTTCTGTCTGTCCAATAACCGAACGCAACGTTCAGACGTAGAATAAACGCTGACGATTTTTGTTTCAGCGATATTGATTACGTATTCGCCACATTTGCAAGACAATTAAGAAAATACTGTTGATGAGTGCCAAAGGGATGATAACAGTAACACATCATTGACACCTATCGGTCCAAGAGAATAAACCCAAGCTAGCGCATTGACATCACATTTACAGTTGTTAAGAAATCGTATTAACGTCAGTATGAATGAGCTTAGAACTGGAAATACCCGGAGCAAACGGTGAATGACAGTCGATAGACTACACTTTTGCCTAATATGTTGTATTAATGAAAACCTTTAGCGACGTATCAATAGAACGCTCCCAGTGACTCATCTTACATACAATTCTTGGATAAAAAACCGTATAGTCAATGAAATGTTTTGTCAGCGCAGAGCGAGGTCTGTTGTACGTTTTACCTTAAAACAGTGAAAACCTGATTGTTAGTCGCGTGCCGGGGCACAGGCGTTGGCATGTGATGTTCGGTGACACCACCCTTAAATAAAGTTGAAAATGACACGCAAGTGTGAAAATCAAGTGTCTGTAATAGGGTAGAGACAATATGCTCAGACGCCCAAGATAGAACGGCTAAGGGGTCACCATAAAATTGCTGCTACTTTTCAGACAAGATAATGACACTAAGCAGACTCTTGTTGCAAAGAGATCGTACAGTTTGCTCACTGGGCTGGGGGGTTTTCTAGTAGGGGTTCCTGTATTTGTGCGAAAGTGGTTATAAATTACCGCAAGTTTTACCTAAGCTTTCAAATTTTTACATCGAACGCTAAAAATACGAATGAAACCTTGTACCCAAAATTATGTGTCTTGAAATAAAGTTTTCCTTTGTGCAATAATCGCAACATAAATTTCTATCTAATGCCTGGCGCGAATAGATTAGGCAACAGACACGTTACCGTAAGCGAAACAAACGTAAATAATAGAAGCAATGCCTGTTTATTGAACAGCTGTCTAGAGTCCAGGGACAGAACGAAAACGTTCTCACGTGCAATACTTGCCACTGTCGAGCAACATTCTTACCAAAGCTAGTAGCCATTTTCAGTAGAAATCATAGGGATCTGATTATTGACAGTTATCCGATGTCGCATAGAAAGCATTAACTCGCATGGTAATACTTGCATAATGAAGCAATCATAAACGGTAACTTCGATTGTTAATCGGCCATTCGTTCCAGTGATTATCATGCAGACTGTCGGCGCATGTAGAACAGAAAAAGGTCAACAGTGAACAAAGACGCTGCAGCGCTGCGCCAACGCAGCAGCGTTTGTACAGGACCGGCGAGATCCTTATTGCGGATAAATGATGATGCGGCCGAAGAATAATGGTTCCTTGGTCACGAGATTCATCGAATATCGTATTAGGGCAACAGAGACTTCCACCGATATGAGAAAATAATTTTGCTGGAGGGAAAACCAGATTTATGTGAACAATGATTTCACAAGCTCGCCCCTCTTTGATCTAGATTGAATCAGTTATATTCAAATTGTTTCCGCCCGTATCTGCTGTCCTCGAAAGAATAGTTTGCAACTTCGAAGCTTCCAACAAGATTTTACTATTTCCAAGAGATCTTAGTATTACCCCTATATTAGACAGCGCACTTCCTATCTTGACTCCTTTTCTCCCCCTATACACCTTACTGTAAACGGTTTAATTCAGTATAAAGTAGATTAATACTCTTTAATCGAACTCTCCTAATTAGAAAGAACGTATTGGAAAGAAGACACCCACACACGCACAATATTGGCAAACTAAGTGTTTAGGCTATATAAGTTCGGTAAAGAAAATAATAATAATAAAGAAAAAAAATTTCGCATTTAAATGGAAAGAAAAAAGTCCAATATGAAAACACTAAAATGATTCACCACAAGCAAAAAGAAAACACTCCTTACAATCGCCGTAAAAAGGAACGATAATCGACAAGACACCATTATTGTAGTTCGCGCAGCCAAAAGTATTCTGTATACTCAAGCAGTGGGGCAAAGTAATATTACAAGAAGAAACAAGTTTTCCTGTTTCGACGGGGTCTGGTCAATAAAGCTGCACGTGTGGCGTGTTCAAACACTTCACGGACCCCGTCTCCGGTCTTAGCTGAACACTCTAGGTATTTGTACGCCCCAATTCTTTGGGCCACAGCCATGCCCTTAAGGTGTGGATTGGAGTTTGTCAACAGAAAGGGGTTGATGGATAATTAATCGTTAGCGATGATTGCTTCAACACGTATTCTGTATTATAATTGCCGAACGTTAGCTCATCTGCATTACATCCATACCTCTTCGGGCGTAACTGGTCTCTGAGAAGTCTTGCGAAGCTCTTCAATTGTTTTGGGGTCAAACCTCAAATCCTTCTTACATCCTACTAGAAGAGTGGGAAGTCCTTGACAGAAGTGCATTACCTCTGAAATCCACTATAAAAACAGGACAAATGTTAAACGTTATGAATACACTCTTGATTGATGACGTTCAGACAAGAAGATTGATGCCAAGTATAACAATTTGGTCTGTCAAAGAAACAAGAAAGTATTCTCTGCATATTATCAACATAGATTGCGATCCCAAATCATGTAAATCCTTTAAAAGAAAATTTTTGTCCAAATATTAGATTTCAATATGATTACCTTCTCCTGAACGTTATCCAAAGAATCGGGCGAATCAACCGCGAAGCAAATTAGAATAACGTGCGAGTCGGGATATGAGAGGGGACGAAGTCTGTCGTAATCCTCCTGACCTATAAACAGTCGAGGGTAGATACAGGTATCGTTATGAAAAGAATGAACGAATGGATGAACGAACCAACAAACGAGCGGAGGAACGAACGAACGAACGAACGGGCGGGCGAACGAGCTAATGTGTAAATGAAAGTATGCTATCTATGATCAACATCCGTTCTATCTTTTCTCATTCATCACTCACCTGCTGTATCCCAGAGCGCTAACTCGACTCGTTTATTATCTACTTCTACGTCGGCGACATAGTTTTCGAACACAGTGGGTACGTATACCTAGTACATGTAATAGACCGTATAATGGAAGGATATGAATCAGTCACTGCTATCTCAACTAAATAATTCACTGTTTGATAGAATAGCGTAAAACGCTTCCCGATAAAACACCGTCATATATGCTATCAAAATTCCAGACCCCTATAGATAACAGCACGGTGGAGCATTGCCCGCTTTTCCATGGTAGACACAGTAATACCAAACAGCATATCTTCTGGTATTATGAGTTTAGCAAAAAAAAAAAAAAAGAATGGGCATACCTCTGGGAAAGTACCCTTTGAGAATACGATCAGAAGGCACGTTTTGCCGCATGCACCGTCACCGACAATGACAAGTTTTCTTCGGATTTCGGTCATTGTGAGTTAGAATAAGTTTAGTCGTAGTTTTCTTCGAGTAAATTACAGAGCGTTGGCCTGTGGTATTGGCGCGAGCGTAAAAAGGATGACAAAGTGCTTGGAATCTTACGTGTATGGAAGTGTTTTATATGTCACCTAACTTGCGGAACTGGGGTGTTTGCCCCCATAAATTCGATTTGTGCTTGGGCGGAAAGACCCTAATCAATCATATCGGTGGCTAAGACCAGCTGCGGTCTAAAAATCTATTATGCGGTTAGCGTGGCACAAATTAACCTAGACAGCGTGGCGCGGAACATCAAATCCGTACAAAAAAAGGTGGTTTGTTATCATGATAGCCTTTGAATGATAAGTTTTGTGTTATAGTGATAGGTTATGGTGAATTTCTATAATAAAATTCTGCTAGTTTTGGTGATACGTTATCCACATTCTCCTGATTTATACAAATAAGGTTAATTCTGTGTTACAATTTCTATATATTCTTCAAATATCTCTTGGCGCACTATTACTATGTCGAAGAAATATTAATAACCGAGAAATCCTCATGACTTGGAATGATGATCCAGAATATCCGAGAGAAAAAAAAAGACGGCTCTCAATGAAGAACAGGTAGATTAAAAAGACGTTTTAATTGTTTGAAGGATTCATGTAATTCTGGTGTAGTGGAATCCACCAGTTCAAACAGAGTTATATTAAATTAACCGTCATTTTATTGACATACACCTGGTATTATCCCTCCCCATGATTCATCTGACCAGGATGTTGATTCAAATCATCTTTTCACTTTCCTTTTCCTTTACTTTTGTTTTTTTTACTTTTACTTTCCGTGTAACGTCTGCTAGTCGGAAGAAGGGAAGATTCCATATTAATATCAATTCTGCAAGGCCTTAAGTTTGGTTCAACGTCTCTAATCAACCATTTGTTAAAAAATTACCAAGAAAACTTTTGAACCGTAATTATATCACTCTGAAGAACGTCTGATAATCAAAAGTAATAATAAAAATCTCTTTGTATTCAGGGCGAATCCTTCGCGAAATTATTTTTATATACCAAAAATGCTTTATAATGCACCACATAAAAACGCTCATTGTTTCCTCTGATTCAGAAGCTGATAACTTAAAAGGAAAAGAAATAAAAAATAAAATGGAGCAATATGAATGATTGGTATGGTTCGAGAAGAGACGTTTGTGTGCTGTAATACATATGCGAATGAATATTGTTGTTACCCTATTTACTTCCGCAGAACACCGCAGTAAATGGTTCCATCCGAAAGTGAGAACAGAGAAAACACTAATTACCAAGAGTTACCAGTATTTTCCGTAAGTCTTGTCATTCATAATGATTAGGGCAAGGCAAGGCAAGTAGTCCTTACAATGATTTATCAAACCGAACTCCTTATTACATTCTTCAGAGGATCGGTAAGTGTATTTGGTTGCTGCGTCGTTGAGTCATTGCGTCGGTGAGGAGTGTCTTGTCACGCGTGCTGTGTGTTGTGCGTATTGCGAGAGAACGTTGAGTTGAGTTCGCGCGTGTTCGAGTATTTTTTAGAGTCTTTCTATATATGAACCGCTAGATATATATATATTCAACACTCCTATCCATTACGGAGATTATACATGAGCTAGCAAACATAATGTACAACCAAATTGTCATAACCGAGCTAATTCAATAAATTTAATATCACTTGCTAGAAATTGAATATGTTAAATACTTAATTCTCGTCATGATGGTTAATCTCGATAGAGGACTCAAATTAAGCTTGACATCTCGTTCACGTGTTAGAAATGTCTACGTAAGAATTGAATGTACCATACTTTCGAATATATCGATATGTGACATCGTCGTCCATGATCATATAGAGATCCGTTAGATACATGCTTGTTGCAGAATTCCTTATACTAAGTATCGTTCTTCTGTCTAATACAGTCTGCTTGGGACTTCACGAAATATATGTACAGTACCACATTAAGTTAACATCAGAATAATAGTAATCACTTCCCTTCATTAAAGCTACTCATCAGAGGATGTGTTATCATCACTAATAGCCGAACCTCGCTTTTCATAAAAAACTTTCAAATATTTTTCGGCTTCCCGGTATTCTTTTTTTACATTTTTTAAGTACGATGCCATGTGATCTTTTGCCTCGTCTTCTGTAATCGAGGATTCCCCGTTTTCGTCTTTGAGGATACCGCAGTATTGTATTTTTTCGCAGATGCCTTTAACCTTGGTTAATCCGATGGCAGCCGAACTGCCCTTAAGAAAATGACCTAATTTGGACAACTCGTCAAGATTCTCCTCCTTACTATCAAACGACCCATGCATGCATGAAGGAGACAGTTTATTGACTGTTGATGATAGATAAATAATTACCAATGCGTTCATGTGCAAAGCAAGTAACTTACAAATAGTCATCCATCTGCTTGAATGTTTGTTCTGCTTGTTTAAAATACTCAGAGACGATCCCTTTAGAGAACGCGAAATTTTCGTCGTCGTCCATGTCCAGTAACTGGTCAAACGTCTCATGGTCGATTAATTCCTCGTCAAGAGATACGGTTTCTTTTTCCTCATCCTATGTCGGTAGAGACAGAAAGTTAAAGTTTGAGAAGCAAAATGGTATCATATGCTAGAGTACGTCGATCGGTAAGAGAAGCTACGTATTGCGTGACAAATAGTGCGTACGGTGATATTTGAATAAAGGTATGCAACCATACATTTGTTGGGACCTGTAGTGATTGACTTGCAGGTTTAGAGGATGGCGGACTAGAAACCATGTCTACGGAAAGTCGGTAATAAAGTAATGCGTGTAGTATGGGTGTCCATTTCTTTTGCCAGTATACGAATTATGATGTCATACCCAGTGACGTTAGCGACAGGGGCCAGCTTTCTTCGTACAAAAAGACCGCTTGTTTAGTGTCGACACCAATACAATGCTGTATATAAGCCCTGAATTGTAGAATCATGTTTCACAACAATAACGAAATAATAACGGAATATAAGAATCATGACATCACATGCGTGGTCTAGCCATAGAATCTTCTAATCACGTGTAATGTACAGTCCAAACGTCCGAACCTCGGGGGCAAATAAACAAAACAAATCTGTTTGTAACCAACTTTAGCAACACATCTTTAGCGTTCATTCGTACGTGTTACTAATAAAGATCGCAATTCTCCTACTTTAGCAACCGGAATGTCGAGCCATTCTAGATCCGAGTATTCAGGAACCCTTTATACCCCCGATTGTTAGCTAAAATGGCCTCGATCAGTCTCTGCAAAAAAGTTCACCGTTGCAAATGCTAATACATTCTTAACACCTTGCTTATGTAATAATAGACTTTGATGGCGGAATCTTACTTTCATATCCAATTTGTTTCGTCTCTCCAAGAGCCCGTAACTTGCTACAAGAACAGGGAGAACCGCAAAGAGCATATTAAATTGACATGCTTGCTTCTGGCTGTTCGTTGCCAAACCCGATCGACTTGCATTGTACGTTCGAGGAAACTTGATTGCAGAATACTGTTAAACAGCCATATTAACAACCAGAAGAATCGGATTCAACACTACGAGATAAAAACCACCAGAGCTTATTTTTAAATACTAAAGGCATTCTCGTGTCCGGTCCTAACAATCATATACACATACTCCAACTTGAACATTAAGAAACTCATCCAACGATAAAACATAGAACATGAAATTTTCACTCACCAAATTATTTTTAGACTTGTGACGTAGTCGATTCATTCATAGCGTTATACCTCTATCTAGTTCAATTCTTATCGAACCATAGTGTATAGCGAATTTGCTCTATCAGCGGAAACGTCAAAGCATAATAGCTAAAGCCTATGCTCTATACTCGTGCGGTTACACTTCCTTCTAGATTGACCAGTAAGCTGCCTTCAAGCCATTTGTTTAAAGATTATCGGAATCGGCCTAATTAAAATATTATATATTTTTATTCTGGTCTTTTCTATCATTTGACGCGAATTCTTTTGCTTACCAGATAAGGTAATTGTCTTATTTTGGCCAACTAAATTAATTTATAGTATTGGTCTTTTACATCCTAAATTATTAATATGTACATCCATAAAAAATTATTTGGATGCCCTAATTTGAATAAAATTCCACGTGTTTCGAATAAACATTCTTTGAAATTACTAGTACTAGTATGTAATCAGCTTATTCACTATCACTATTATTATTCTTGTGATCACCCTCATTTCTTATATGACCTTCCTTTTCCCTCCAGAACATAATTGTATTACATCGCTTGTCTTCCAATTCCTTGTTACCACCTACGCTGACATTGTCTTTAAATCCAATAGTACGTCGATGTTCGTAACTGGGATACATTTCCGGATAAAATCTAATCGTCTCTTTAGTCACATAACCAAGAGCTTTAGCTATCCTCTTCACCTGCCAATCATCATATGGTACCCCGGTCTTCAAAGTAATGTGAATCTCACTCGACGATGAAGAAAGAAAAGCTAAAGATGATTGAAGAAACTGCTGGATTAAAGTCTGATTGGCAAGAATATTACGAGATTGATGTTTTATACCGAGACCTAGTGTCGTTCATGAACAGAGTGAAAACCAATTATATACTAAATTCTCAATATGCGATGTCGACACAATATGAATTTTAACAAGATACATACCAACATGAGGAAAGTTAAAAACAATTTTGTCAAAGGTACGTTTCTTTAACGGCTTACACTTGTCCAATTGAGTAGCATCGACCTCAAAAATTACTACTCCACCATATTCACGGATTACACTAACGTGTGCCCTAGCATCCGTGTATTTCTCATAGGCAACAGCCTCGGTATCGTTTGTTGTAGCCGTTATAGTGTGAGAGCATTCTTTGAACATGTGTTCGCATAAAGAGCGAGCGAAACTAAAATTACCTGTTTGGGAAATAAAGATTGCTGTAGAAAATATCCAGAAAACAGCGCTAATAAACAATCAACAGTAGGCCAAGTCACACCTTCGCCGACCAACAATATTCGCTCTCCTTGTTTATACGGCACAGGAGGAAATTGTTTCTGGCGTTCTTCCACATTCTTAATTCTCTTGACCTTGGGTTTGTTGACACTCTTTAGTTTTGCCTCTGCGTTTGCTATTGCCGCCGCATGTTTGTCACGTAATTGTTTCTCTTGTTGCAAGCGAAGGAGAGACGATTTCAACTTTGATTTCACTTTTGGCATTTTGTGTGATTATTGAAAAAAGTGTGGAAAATATTTGAGTACTACGCCACCTTATAATCCATCTTTCCATCTAAAATTTTTCCAAGTTCGACACAAGCTTATCAACTTGCTTGAAATGGTAAAGCGAAAGCGCAAATCCTCTCTAGTTACCTCAAACGAAAAAGAACTACCCGTCCCAAGCAAAAGACGTAACGTAATTCTTTTTACATATTCAATGTTTCCCCAAGCGTCGAAATCTAACCGGTGATTTCACAACCTTTTTTTTTTTTACATGAAGCAAGCATCCACAAACGCTCACCAATTAGAGCAGCCACTATTATAACGGATATATACGTCTCGAGGAAATCGAGCAAGAGCGGGCTGTTAAAAAGATGCAAGAAGCTGCTATTAAAAGAAGGGTATCAAAAGATTATAAATCTATGTATACGTTTACATCTTTAGATAGTTACACAAAATAAATCAAGGCCTATTTACTATGATTATTAGTAAAGAAGTAATTACAGTTCATGGACTCGGTGCTGCAATCCCTTCTGCAATCTCTCTTGTTCTCTCCCTTAAGGCGGCAATGAACGAACAAATTATATACCAAGTAAAAACGAACACGGTCAGGTTAATCGATGACGTCATTCCCTCTGATGATGTATGTAAAAAATACCATATCATTTCAGAATGTTTCTTGTTATGTTAAAAGAGAATTTATACAAACTTTTCAACCTACATGTTAGGATAAAGATTATGAAACACAAA